TTTATGAGAAACTATCAAGATTAGAAAGAGATACAATGTATTCCTCTCTCTTTCGTGTGATTTTGCCGAAACTAAAGACCTTTAAGGGAAAGAGACCATGAAAAGTAACTAGAGTTTCTTTTCTTCCTGTCGCGATTCTCATTAGAGGGTCTCTATAGCTGCCTTTTCATACCGACACTCATTTTCGACATCAAAATAGATCACGTGATAAGAATTGACGAATATCAAGCATCAAAAGGAGCATCTTAAAAGGAGACTAAACTCAAGGATAATGGTCCCAATACAGACTCTCGCATAATACATAATGCATAAGGGAATCAACAAATCGAAATCCTTCTTTTCTATGAAATAGAAGGAAAAGAAAGATTCTGATTAGTTGATTCTCTTAAGCACTGTGTATTATTATGCAAAAGTCTATGCTGTGGCTTTAAGCGGGGAGCACAGACTTTTACATAACGCATAACACATAAGGCATAAGAAATTCAACCAATCACAGTTCTTTATTTCGTAGAAAGGAAGGAAGCGAAGGACTTTAATTGGTACATTTTCTTATGCATTACGTGTTATGCTTTATGCAAAAATGCTCCCTGTTTTAAAAATGGGCTCGAAACATGATGTCGAAAAACCATGGAAAATCGGGGCGATTTTAGTGACGTTGCGGAAAAAATTAGAAGTATATACCACATGATAACGCGTACAGAATACACATGTTTTATTTTTAATACAGAAATTCCAATTTGTATAAAATTTAATTTTATTTGATTAAATAATAAATGCATCATTATTTATTGAATAATACATACATTTATGCATTGTCATAAATTATCATTAAATTATTGTTTTTTAACTTACAGACATCAAAAAACTTTGAAATTAAAAAAAATAAAAACAGGACTTAAACGATAACTTTTCTTTTCAAAATATATTCTACTCATGAAAATACACAAATTTACAGAATTATAAAAAAATGAGAGGAAAAATATTTTATTTAAATGTTATTTACGCAACAACTAGCATTGTGAATAACATGTTTCAATTTTTTTCTTCTTTCTAATTTTACAGATTTATTATATTTGCAAAACAAACTTAGTATGGCACCTTTCCCTATAATTTTTTTTGTTACTAACGCAGAATAATTTTGATGAATAAAAATGAACCTAAAAAATAAAAGGTATATGTTAGAGAAAAATATTTGTCCAACTGTCATTAACGTAACATCAATATGTTAGAATTTTTCACGTAACTACGTAATCGTTACATCGTAACTACGTATCGTTACATACACTCGCATTATATTGAATTTAATATATTGATATTGAGAAATTATAACATTGATGTTATTTTTGTTGATGTTTACGGAAATTACATTATAAAACATTTGTATGCACGCTTCGGTATCAACTTCACATAGTAAAGCTGATTTTGAAGGTTTCCAATCTGGAAGGAATTCTGGCATCAATCCATTTTTGTCTTGAGTTTGGATCTTGGGCAAATGTTGTGCAGCAATATCCTTTTTTTATTAGAGTTTGTGCATTTTGAAGTACTCCAGTCAGAAATAGTTCCTCAAAAAAACATCGTTTCGACGTCATTACGATGGAAAAGTTGTCGATTCGAAACTTGCATCAAAATTTCAACATTTTCGAATGATAAAAAATTACATATGTAGAGAATGCAATGAGAGTTTGACATTTTTAATATTTTTGGTATAAATTTGTAATATGTAATTTTATATTTTGAATATCGTTCAAAAGTCGAATCGACATTTTTTTTTACAATTGCAATATCGCTCTAATCATAAAAGCTTTCTCAAAATTTTTCAGAATTTATAGATAATTTTATAACTTTTTAGAAAATTGTGGAATTTTTTTATACGAATCGTAACATTTTTTTACAATCGTCGATAAAGTCTACATCTTTTCTTCTAGTAATTCTTTGTATCTTATTTTATTGTTCTACTCCTGCTGAATAACATTACTTTTATTTGTACTTTATAGTTTATTTAATATAATCTTATTACATCATTCATCATTTTTGTATTGAGGAATTTCAGGGAATAATCTCTTACTATAAATGAGCATAAAATCAAGGAAAAATATCATTGATGCTATCCAAGTTTAGCTAGATTAATTCTAACTTGAATCGATATCGAAACGATCTCGATTTTTAAATTAATGAAATTTAAATATTAGTCTATCATACAAGTTTCCAATATCATTTGGAAGTATAAAAATATTACTAGTGTCACTGCTACTGCAGTAGTATTACTACTGATACGCAATAGTGTCAATGCTGAGCCAGTAGTGTTACTATTAATGTATGATGACATTTGACGTAATATAGAACTTCCAGTAATTGTAATATTTAATATAAAAAATTTATTAGAAAAATTTATAAAAAATACACACACACACACACACACACACACACACACACACACACACACACACACACACACACACACATATATATATATATATATATATCATTAGAGCAATTAGTATTATTTCAGCTAATAAAAATAATATTTTATAGTATTATTAAAAACAAGTTATTATCATAGGTGTTATCATTCACATTACTACATACTATATTTAACATTAATTATATTTTTTTTTATGTATTCCGCCTCTTTTACAACACCTTTGAACAGATGTGTTACAACTATACATCTAGCATTAAGTGTTCATGGTTCTTCGAAGGAGTAATTCTCGTACGATCACAGAAATGAAATATGGTAAGTGGAGATTCGGATGGGTGACCACACATGAGTATATTATAAAATTAGTTCTCGAATTTATAAAATAAATTTTTTTTTATTATAATTTTGTCGTTTATCCTGTCCTCTGAAATATGATGTTAATCAATAATACTTATTTTCACAATAAAATTTCAATGAAATTTTCTCTACCACTATTGCGCTATTAGTGACACTACTTGTTGAATTTACTTATTGCATTAATGACACTAGTAATATATTTTTATGCTGACTAGATCAATTCAAGATTTTAACTCGAAAATTAATCAAAATTGGAGTCAAATCCATCGAAATCAATAGAAATTTCGAAAACTTTCGACTTTTATTTTCGACATCGAAACGACGTCTTTTCGAGAAATTATTTCTGACTGCACTTGGTAGGCATTTTATAATATGCACAAATCCTGTTCAGATATCTGAAATATAAAAATTTGTAATTTTATTTCATGTATATATGTACAATAGAGGAAGGAATATCTCTCCAAGATAATATATATCACTTACAAATATTTTATCAATTGTAAAATTGAGGAAAAAATTGCAGCACAAGATAACAAGTGTACTATTTTTCAGTCATGTAATGACATGCCCCCACATGACTCTACGGAACTTGAATGTCAGGTCCAATTAGGGGCTCCGCAATAAAAGGAACAAGGAATAGAGAATAAGAATTTCAACTTATCAGAAATCATTGTATCGTGGAATACATAGTTTTTGATAGATTGAAATTTTTATTCTCTGTTTTCTATTCCTTGTTTCTTTTATTGTGCGGAGGAGACCTAAGGGAAGACTTTAAGAAGATACGAGCCACGTGATACAATTTGCCATTCTCTCTCTCTTTGTGAGGCTTTTTAGAGTCCTAGATATAACAGAGAAACGCAACCGAGCATATTTATAATTAATCGTTCAAAGAAAAAATGGCGACCTATGTTTAACAATGGGCAGTAGCAATAATGGATTAAACAGTAGGCATAGAAATCGACTAATCATAGTTGATTATCCTTCTCACATTCGACTATGATTGATTTCTACGCCTACTCCTTAATCCACTACTATTACTGTCATTGTAGAATGGGCTTAATGGTGCGGCCACAATAGAAGGAGTAAGGAATAAGGAGTCCAAACTCTCTCAGAAACGAGAAATGTATTCTTGTGTATCCGATTTTTGATATTGAAATCTTTATTCCTAATTCCTTAAGGTTTTCTAATCGCGGAATTTCTAGTTCTCCTTTTTTCTAGTTCTCCTCTTTCTCCTCTTTTCTAATGAATTGGTCGCCGGCAAGCCGGCAAGCCGGGAAGTAGTCAAGAGCAACGAAGATGGACGTTTGAGACACAGTATAACCAGTAGAGACACTCAGCAAAAAAATGCGTGTTCACGCAGGTATGGCTGCGCAGCTTTTGTTTTGGGCCGGATCTAATGAAATGCAAGATGACAAGAACGTATATATTTATTATACAGATCCCGTATGAGCAAATATCCGTGATAAAAAAAGATATTTTAAGAGCTGCGCCATAAATATTTCTAAAGAATATACATAATAATACAATATACAATATATATAATTATTTATTAATATATTTTTATAATATGTTTAATTAGATAAAACCACAAATATAATATTTTTTTTTAAAAAATATTATTTAATTATTTAATTATTTAATAATAATTACTTAATAAATTTGATTCATTTACTAGTTCTTACTATTTTCGAATTAATTTTGTTTATTAGTTAGTATTTTTGTAAAATATTTTAGTGTGGGATTACATTATTACTTAAGAGGCATTATATCCTCTTTCGATTCTGGATTTTTCAAATGTTAACATGATGGATGCTCACGTGACTGCGACGCGAAGATCAAAGATGCCGACACGAGTATCCCTATTGGTTATACTCTGTTCGAGAATTGTGGCCTTATGCTCAAGCTGATTGGTCCTCCATCGCTCACTGTGAAAGAAAGAAACAACTATTAACGTTTTCGACTCGACCGAGTTTGCACTACTTGGATTAAAAAATTAGAGCTCTTCTTTTGTCTTCAACTTCTCTCGTATGAATGCTCCGTCTATTTTGTAAGTCTATGATCGGTTTTTTCGGGACCAACCATTTGAGTTTAGTTTTTACTCCATATTTAAACCTCATTTAGCAAAGACTCAAACCTCATTTAACGAAGACTCAAATTCCAAATTTATTGTTAGCGGAGTTTCAAATTGTAGTTAGCGGGGACATGAACCCCATTTCTCCTTGAAAGCATGCAATATGGCTACGGCAAGAGTTCGATTGGATAAGATGGAAGAAAATGGCATGCGAAGTGTTATTAAATTTTAGTGAGATGTTTACTTGCTCCGGTTGTGTAGAATGGGAGGCTGTATAGGTATAACGAGGGCAAGAAATGCCTCAATCAATGATACATCGGAAAATTCGAGCAGAACTAATTCGGGTAGGATTGCTACCGCGAAATTTCTTTTGTAGGAAATACATTGAACATCAACTAACCTTGAAGTCATTTTAATTTTATTTTTGTCTTTGTATTTGAGATGTACGTTATCTATTAAGTGCAGTGTCAATTATATCTACTTAGTTAAGTACAGTATATATAAATAAGGTTTAAATAATATCATGACAACATAATAGTAATGCTTGTATTTTATAGAGTATAAGACTAGTTTTTAATTGACACTTTCTAACGGTTTTGCATTAGTTCAATAACTTCTTATCTTTTATAAAATATGCTTTTAATTAGATCTTATTATCTAATGCAATTTTATAATACATAATTATACATAATTATATATTAGCTAAATAATAAAAACAAGGAATATATAAAATACAATTACACGATTAACTAATTAATTAATTAATAAAAAAAGAAACATACAAACACTTAAAAGATTGGATTGTCCATTACCATTATATAAATTTTTGTTACTTAAATATAACAGTTCCATAATATGTAATAAGAAATATACATATATTCTTACAACAAAGATTTTGACGATTTTAATAAGTTGCTTTTATTTATCTCTACTGAAATAATTTACTTATAGGAAATACAAGAAAAAATCATCTTCTATGTCACGAGGTAATCAGATGGAAATCTGATGTACCTCTGACCGAAGGTCAGCTGAGAAGTAAGCGAGATGAATTTTGGGACACTGCACCAGCATTTGATGGTCGTAAAGAGATTTGGGATGCATTGAGAGCAGGTGCAACTGCAGCTGAAGCACAGGATTATCAGTTGGCACAGGCTATATTAGATGGGGCTAATATTTCTGTACCAAATGGTTTCTTAACTGAATGTTATGATGAGTTAGGAACACGTTATCAAGTACCTATTTATTGTTTGTCTTACCCAATTAATATCGTAAAAGAAGATAGTGGAAGAGATTCACCTGCTGATTGCTCAGGTAATAAAATTTTTGAAAGAGTTCACCTTGATATAATACAGTTTACAATACAGTTTTTTATCTTATTGCTGTATCAATTTTGTATAGAACCAGTTGATGAAGGAACAGAACAAACTTTAAAACTTAGACTGTCAACTACTTTAGGAGAAGTTAAACTACCTGTTTATAGCAATGATACCATTGCTGTTGCTAAGAAAAAATTACAGGTTTGTATAATAGTTATATTTCATTGAATGTATATATGTTATATGAGAATAATTGCATATGATAATAATGATAATAATAATAATAATAATAATAATAATAATAATAATAATAATAATAGCAATAATAATAATAATAATAATAATGATTGTAATTTATTGTTTATAGAGTCAAGAAGGTTTGGAACCTTCACGTCAAAGGTGGTTTTTTGGTGGTAAATTGCTTGGTGATAAAATGCATATAGAAGAAGCTAAGGTACAGCCAGGTTACATAATACAAGTAATTGTAAATCCAGAAAAATCAGATAATATCTCCGGGAAGACTAGTTGAACTGATAACAAACATATAATATATAAATGTTTCAATCAGCAATCAATAGAACCATACTTTTACGCTTGTTAACAAAACTTGTTAATCCTATATCAAAGTAAGAATATTATGGTTTTTAATATTTTGTCACATCACGTAAGTGATAAATCATTTTAAGATAAATTGATTATATAACATAACGCATACAAAATTTTCTATTACAAATTTCATTATTTAATGAAATCGCAAGTGCAATCAATTTTCTTTTTGTATCATATATCCATACACTTTATTATACAATGTAAAAAAGTTATGTAAGAATGAGAGAGAGAGAGAGAGAGAGAGAGAGAGAGAGAGAGAGAGAGAAAATACTAATAGAATAAAAAGGCATATCTTTATAAATTCGGCTTTCTTCAATACAATGTATTTTCTGCAATAAGAAAATTGACTGAAATGATTTATTTATATTTACGTAAGATATATATACATACAAATATATGGACATACTATTTTTTATAATTCATAATGTGTAAGTTTACAATTTCACATTATCAAAATCTTTCTTTCATTATGAGTTTTAAAACTCATTAAAAGTGACAAATTATGCATTAAAACTGAACGGCCATTATGTGAGATATTTTATAATAGAAAAATACGTATAAAAATCATATATACTTTATACATATATTATATAAAGTATAAGATATATATTGCTTTTGCAAAATAGGGGAAATGGTAATTTTTTATCTATTCGTGTCATTGTCATTACATCACATACGAATACAAGGGGAATAATTATATTCAATGACAATAGTGAAAAGAAAATATAATACTCATTGCAAAGTACTTTATACTTAGAGAGAGAGAGAACTCATTTATATAACAATATTCTATGTTGTACTTGCAACTATTGACTTATTTTTTTCTAATTTTTGTCACGGATTAGTCTTACATA